AAGTTGTAAACAAACACAGTGCTTACCTTTACATATTTTTCTAAGCCGGCTCACTGGCAGTTCATACACTAGCCATTGTTATATTAAAAAATAATTGGTTTGGATGAAACTTCCTATGCAAATTCGAGAATATTGTTAATGTTAGTCCCACACAACTGCCCACACCATCAGCTTTATTTTTGAAGACGTAAAGCTGTGCAGTTAATAAGTTTCCACTCACAATTGATCAATTGTCAGAAGGACCTTACTCTGTAAAAAACATCTTACCATGCAATAAGCTCAACATAATCCTAACATGAGATTTGAATAATTGATGTTTTTTATATAGTAAACATGACTTTGATGCAAGCATTGTGCTTTTACATTGTTTATGCTTCGGTGAATTCTACAGCGATGAACCAAACCACCAACTCTTCCATTTAGACTTCAGTGCATATTGATTTGTTGTTGGAGGTGTGGCTGCTGCATTTAAAGTGAGCACAAGTTACAGTGCGGATCATTGGCGACATCATTCTGCCTCTGCAGCAATTCAGGAAGAGTGCAAAAGAGGTCACAACCATCCAGTGAGCCACGTGTAAGCACAAAGGTTTAGAAGAAAGAAATTTACAAAACCAAAGTGCAACCCGCATGGCCTCCACCATCATGCTGTGGTAGCCTTCATGGACCCCAGTAGTGCTGGACGTGCTTTGTTGGCATCAATCAAATTAACATCAAATGCAATTAGTTGGTGGGTCCAGCAGGTGCTATGCTTAACAGCAAAGGCTTTAGTAGCACATCTCTATGTGAAAAAAAACAATTAGTTCTTTAAGAGCTGCAAGAAGTTACAGTTTCAGAGGGATCTAGAAGTACACAAGCAACTTCTAACTGACGAGGATAAACAGTGATGAGAGAAGATAAAGGGCATGGTGAACGTCATGTTACCCCTGCCATTTGCTTCTGCTCACCACAATCATCAGATAACTCTAACAGGAAAAGGAAAAAAAGAAAAAGAAAAACAAATAAACATTACAACGATTGGCTTCCTTCAGCTTATAATTAGATATCTTATTGTAATATGGTGCTCTAAACAGAATAAAATAGACAAAAGCAAAACCAAAAAAAAAAAGTGTCACAAAGAATAGAAAAGAAGCAATACTATATTTGGGTGAGACAACAAATAACTTAATCCTGCAGCTCACAAGGTAACACAAAATCTCTTCACATTATACAAAAATATTGCATACAACACAAATTATAATTCTCTTACTAGCCACAATGGGCTCTTATTAAATATAATAAAGAAGGGCCAAGAATATCCAGCGGCTTTTAAGTCAAAGACAAACTTGGGAACAGAAAACTTTGCTATGCAAGTCTAATATAAATTGTAAAAATTAATTTATTTGGAAAAAATAGATCTCTGAATACTTAAGACACCACAATATGAGACACCACTAGTCTGAACAATTATAATACACCCATAAAACCACAATTTTGGCCGGAAAAAAATTCACAGAAAAGCAACAAACAAACTGTTGCCACAGCATGACGACAGTAACAAAGAGTCAGTTAACAGATGCTTAAGATGCAAAGTTAGCTGATGAGTCAAATGAGAAATTAAAACTCATTTAAGTGCCTATATTTAGAACAGAAATACCATATCTAAATGTGTCATAATACATATGAGATTAGAAATGTTAGATGTTTTATTTGAATGTTTTTCATCTATCCTGAATTAGGGAGTTCAGTCTGCACATGTCAAGATCAGAGGCATACTTCTCCAACAGATGGACTGTGCAATTTTGCCAGAATAAGGATAAACTGGTAAACACATATAAGCGTAACAAATCCTCTATCGAAACTATTTAAAAGTACATTAAGATTCAAGCTATTTATTCTCTGCATGGAGTGAGTTTCTACTGTAACAACCATAGAGGCGTTTTTTTTGCACCTTTTTTCACACACTCCTCTAATTACACACTTCTGATATGTGTAAATTCCTGTAAAACAGCTGTATGAAAATAAAACGTATATGAAAAAAAGTTTCCAATATATGATTCAATACTTTTTCTATTTGAAATCAAGCCAATCAAATTTTTGGATTTTTTTTTTAAAAGAACATGACAGAAAAAAATTATAAATATGAAATTTCAAGCATAACTGAAAGTTTTGTTGGATGCTTAGTAAAAATACAAAGATTGAAGGAGCGACACTATTTTTTGGTTTGGCCAATTGTATAAAGGGGTTTCACAAACAGATAATTTAAGCAAAATCATGCACAATTCTTCAGAAGTGAGGCTTGCCTTCACACTGTCCTTAACAAATACAAGTCAGCAACTATTTGTTTCAACAGTGACCAATACGTAATAGTCCAAACTGTTTCTGGAAAGTTTTAAGGCTCATAACCTGTTCTTGGGTTTTATAGATTTAATCATTTTCAAAAATCATTCCTACCAAGTGTGCATAATTTTATCATTTATTTCTGAAGCCATGTAATAGCTGGCTTATATGTCTTCAAATTATCTTGGGTAAACATGCAGCTCTCTGTTGAGGATATTAGCTGCTGTAGTGCTAAGCTTGCCAATAACTGATCAGTGCTGGAAGCACAATCCACACAATCAGCTTATTTGAGCATGTGCAGCCAAAAGAAAATCAGATCTGCAATGTGTTTTAAGAAACAGTACAAAAAGTGCATGTTTCTATACTTGATTATAAAAAGAGTACTAAACTACAACATTTATAAAGTAAATAACAACTTTCCGGAGAGAATTAAATTACATCCTTTCTGTTTCATTGCTTGCTTGTACCCAATCTGTCCCATATGGACGATCCCTACCGTACGCCCAACAGGGCACTTTTTATTTTATATTTGCAAATAATTGTGGTTATTTTATGTTTTATGCATTTATTTCACTGTACTTGTAAAGTATATAGTGCATACTATAAAAATAACTTAAAAATATCGATAGAAACCGTCACATACTTAGCTGAAGCTGAGCCTCGGTGGTGATGACATTAGACAAGCAATGGAAATCATGTTAAAGCATTGCTTCTCTCAGCAAAATCATTCTCAACATTTTACATTATGTTCTTCAGCATGGGTTTATAACTCAGGATAGAAATAAGCTATGTTGTTAGTGTTACTACTTTTTTCAATGATGATCCAGACGTTTCTTGTCGAGACACATGTGCAAAAGAGCTGATGGTATGGACTGTGCTTCAGATACCGATCGGGCACTGACAGGGCTAACAATACATCCACTCTGTTTTCATATGACCTTATAATTTGAAAATGTACATAAATGGTTGTGTTCAGTTTCACAAAGTAAACTCTACTTTAATCATCTGATTTTGATCATCTTATTTTCATAACTAGCACAACACCAACCAGTCTCTTCCTCTGGTGCTGCTGAGCTTAAGATGAGCGTTAAAGGAATAGTACACCCAAAACATGATTAGCCTTCATTTTCTACTCACCCCCATGCTGAACAACACTCTGGAGTACTTTTTTGATATCTCAAATGCATCTGGAGATCTGGGAGGCTTCTTGCTGTCTGCTGACATTCAAATAATGGAGGTCTATGGTGCCCGAGGCAGAAAGGTCCATAAAAGTCCACAAAAAACATGTCAATATTCCTCCATACTGCTCGTCCAATGTATTCCAAGTGTCCTGAGTGGGTAGCATCCAGAATTTACTCGAAACAAAGTCATTTAGAATGTTTTTAGAGCATAAACAGTAGTGTATAGGATTTCCTGAAAGCGCGCACATGCGCGTTCACGACGCTACGGAAGCCGGCAGACCAAACCAGCGCATTCAGCTCGGCAAAGAACTCATGCTCTTCCTCAACACTGAAGTCCTCAGACATTTTTCTTTCGTTGTTTCTTTCTTTGCACAGGTAAACAGCACATTTCTTCTTCTACGCTTGCATTATTGGCAGAGCAGACGCTGAATGCGCACTTTCATCTGGTTTGGTCTGCTGGCTTCCGTAGCGTCGTGAACGCGCATGTGCGCGCTTTCAGGAAATCCTATACACTACTGTTTATGCTCTAAAAACATTCTAAATGACTTCGTTTCGAGTAAATTCTGGATGCTACCCACTCAGGGCACTTGGAATACATTGGACGAGCAGTATGGAGGAATATTGACACGTTTTTTGTGGACTTTTATGGACCTTTCTGCCTCGGGCGCCATAGACCTCCATTATTTGAATGTCAGCAGACAGCAAGAAGCCTCCCAGAACTCCAGATGCATTTGAGATATCAAAAAAGTACTCCAGAGTGTTGTTCAGCATGGGGGTGAGTAGAAAATGAAGGCTAATCATGTTTTGGGTGTACTATTCCTTTAAAGTAAAAAAAATGTGGGTGGTGGAGGGGTAAGACTGGATACAGTTCAATGTGGACCTGGACTGGAGTCTGGACTTAAGGAAACACTTCTATATTACTGTATATGCTCATTGCTACACATGCAGACTAGTGAATTATTCACCACATACATTTTTTATAGAGATCCAAGTTTGTCTGGTTTCTTGCTTAACAATAGTTGGATTAAACACCCTATAGTTTGTAGGTATAGTTCATTCTCTTACAATATGAAATTCCTATATGTTCATTTCAATCCCAGTGAATAACGGAAACTTTTTGAACGTTTAAAGATGAAGAATCGAGGGGGTATGAAAATAAAGTTTTACTTCTTCATACCCCTTTTCAGACAATCTCTATTAATTGATGTCAGTTCTCTGGTTATATATACCGATAGGTTTATTTGGTGGAAGGTTTTGTTTCTATTTATGTCCAGGTGAATTTAATTACTTTGAAATTTGGAGTTTGGCTTGGTTTGATGTTCCCCAGTCTCTTTTTGTGTGTATTTGGTTCATTTATTTATTGTTGTTTGTCAAAATTGCTTGAAATTGTCTGTCTGAAATAAATTCCTTTTCGAGAATCTATTCAGACTCCATTTGCTTCAATGAGCACTACTATTAGTGAACGCTATTGAAAAAATGGGGGTTTCAGCTACCGTAGCTCACCATAGCAATGGCCAGTCTTTTCCTAGATGGGTTGATGCCTGAAGGGGGGGCAGTGCGAAGCCTAACACTGTACTGGGCCTGTGGTCAGAAAGACAGACAGCAGGTAAAGAAAGAGAAAGAAAAGACAAGAGTAGGGAAGGAAACAGATGTGTGGGCTTTAGTTTTGCAAGGTAAAAGCAGGGGCATTTGTTAAGAGCCTTTCCCTCTTCTTCTGCCATTTGCTTTTCTTTCTAGTCATTCCCAGCTAAAGAATGCAGGGGGGGAGGAGTAATGACACAAGACTAACACAGATTATATGCAGGGCTTTGCAAAGGGAACAAGGAGGTTAATGAGCTGACACCCTCTCCGCCCCCTGAACATGTCCGTGCCCACATGCATGCTGCCCCACTCTTTTACATACACTGACAAGCTTATTACACCAAACACGTCAAACCAATAGTAGAAATGAACAATGAAACCAAACCAAGGAGGCCAAAAAAATTAAAGAGGGTCATAAGATGTGTTGGGTTGAGAAAACAAGCAAGAAACACTAAAAAAGGAAACTAATACGCAGGAGAAAATAGATTAAGAAGATTTTTTTTCAGAGCTTCCACATCTACCTGGCGATGAGATCAAAAGAAGTAAGTTACCATCATATTAACTTCACAGTTAATATGAAGCACAGCATCAGTCTCTCTCAAAGTTACTGTGGAACCCTCATTCATTTTTAAAGTGCTCATAAGGAAACTTTGACCATACAAAGAAAAAAGAGACAGACAACAGACAGGAAGAAGTTGAAGCTTTGGAATTCAACCAAGACTGTCTAAAGACTATGCATGATGAATGAACATTCTGCACAGAAATTAGATGCATTAACACAGTACTTGAAGCCATTATACCATCTGTTTGGCTTTTTCCTCTGTACCTAATATTCTGTCTAAACCTAGGAGGGCGTATACCACACCAACCGTAAACTTACGACAAAACACAACATTAAGAAATAGAAATCACTGCCGTTTTCCAACATTATCAAAGCCTATTTGTGACTTTATGACTCATTTAAAGATACGTTGCCAATCTGTTAATCATAGTGATAACTATGGGTCAAATCATAAGATTCCGATAGATGTTAATATTTTCGTACATGTGCCAGGAGAAGCAATCGCTCATATACCATGTTTTCCTGAGCAGGAAAAACCAGACATACAAACACCGCACTGAGGGGACTGGTTGCTAAAAGGAGATAACTTGACTAATCAAGCATAAAACTGTTTTTCAAGTCTTAGTACTCCATACTGTATGAAAATACAGAGAGTTTAATGAAGTTCCTTTAAGTCCATTCAAAATTTGAGTCAAATATATATATTTTACTTTTAAACAGCTCAAGTAGTTATGGGTGTACCAGATCTTGTTGTATAACAAAAAATATGTTATATGTTTTTTTTTAAAGTGAAGTTTGAATTAGTTATATAGCCAATAAAAACTGTACAGCTTCATTGCATATTATGGAGATAATTCAGTGAGTTGTTTCAGGTATGTCGGGCCTGGGACATATCTAAAGGTTGCATGTGTGGCTTTTAAAACATCATTCCAAGCTAAAACAGAAGAAAGTTCTCAAAAAAAGTGTTTTTAAAACTTCCTCCATCCCATGAACTCCAACTCCTGTAGTTTGAGCTGTATGGTGGTCAGGGATCTTCTTCTAACTGTCATTAGGTCTCACTTCACCAAAAACTGAAATAGTTTGGTTTAGAGTCAGACATAACTGTCAGCCCTTTAAGTTTTACCTCTAGCATGACTAAAAAAGGACAGTCCACCCACGAGTGTAAGGATCATACAGACATCTCAATAGTTTGGTTATTAAGGACAAACAGCCCTTAAGTCTAAAGCACAGACCACAGTCTAAAACCATCATGTTATTACAGAGCCTTACTAAGAAAAACCTATTAGACCTTCAGATACTCCCCCATTTCTTGGTTATTACGTGGTGGCGAGTGGGTGTAGATGTTAAATAAAAACTTCTCTGGCCTTTAACTTGCATCACCGGAAAACCAAAAAGAAAAGGTGAAAGGTTGTTTTTTTGTTTTTTTTTTCTGAGAAAAGGGTCCTTAGCTGAAATGTGCAGCCATAAAAACCACAAAAAAAAAGGACACAAAGCTCCCCCTCACGTGTAAGATGTTAAAGTGATAGCCTCAAAAACCCCATGAAAAACTTACCGTTCTAAAAAGTTATCAGAAGAAACAAAACGTTGTCAAGAAATTGTCAAAGATAGATTGATGCTGGTGTATAGAACTTTAATCTCAGGTCCATTTTATAGGCTTGCTTAATAAACATCCAAAGAATGGTGTTGTTTTATTTATGTACAAATCTGCTCTTACCATTTTTAATTTACTAATACATATTTTACCTAAGTCATAAAATGAATATTAAACACGTCTTTCTTATTTTTATGCTGATGGGCCCAATTATATAAATAAACCCAAGATGGAGATCCGATGGAAACCCGAATAATTAACACTGACAAAGAAGTAAAGACAAACTGCTCTATAATCCATATGTATAACTTGGAATGGCATTGATATAAATGTTGAGCAGCAAAATAAAAAGCTATTTAAAAAGGGAGATAAAGAAAAAAATTTACTATATTCTTACAGTATTTGGGAAACAATCTGGCCAAATTTCTATCAGTTGGACATCAAAGGCCTTTAGATGTCCTATGTCAAAAATCTCTATCAAGAAGCTCTCAGAACCAGAAACTTACTTCTGGGCACTATTATGAAAACTTGTAAGAGGTTCCTTGCAAGATTTTCAATAGAACAGACGAAATAGTCATTTTAATAGCTGTTTGAGAAATTAGAACCACTCACAGAGTCCTAGAGAAAGACTGGAATTATAACCTCTGTGCATGCCCCCACTGTTTAAGACTCCTCTGCTAAAGAAAAAGTGAGCAAAAGCCTTTTAACATTTTCATGAAGAACGACAAAAGCTTGGAAGAGTAAAGTCTGGTCAGACGAGATCAAAAAACAACCTATTTAGAGGTTACATTGTGTTTGTTTGGAAATTGGCACCTCTCATCACCACTAAGCAGGTGAGGGTCTGAAAAAGGAACATTAATGTTCTAAAAGATAATTTTAAGATTTAAAGGAGGGTTTATTTTTATGAGATATTGTTGGCAAACAGCTCAAGAGAAGTCTTCATGTTTTATGAACTACAATATGTTCGATACATACTTTTCCTTGGCAGATTTGAAGAGAAATGAGCTAGAATCATGTTGCTGCTTGTGCAGCTTAATTGCCTCAAATAAAGCAGAACTCATGAAAATAAAGTAACAGCCTTCATAAAACGGACCCTTAAAAAGAAAGCAGGAATAGAATTTATAATGATGCAGAAAAACACTTTAAAAGACCTCGAAAACAATGAGCCAAGGACAGATAGTCGTTAGCAGCCATTGTGAATCTTTCAAATGAGTCATTCACACAAAGTCTTGTGCATTTTTAATAAAAATTAAATTGAAGAGCCCCGAAGAACAAACTCTATAAAATAATAACAGCCATTTCACCTTCGCAGTATACTGAGTCTCTCAATTATTTACCACTAATGAATTGCTCTGGGCCATGTTTTACAATATCAACTATCCCAAAGAGACAAATCAGCTCTCTCAAACTTAAACACATTTGCTCTCTTCTTCTTCTGCATCCCTGATATGAAGAAAAAAAGATGTTAAACTCTTCCTCCTCGGAATTTTTCAACAATATTTACAGACATTTTTTTTATTAAATAAGTAAACTGGCAAATGGCAAGAAGTATGTGATGGTTAATTTATGTTTGCTTGTTTTAACTGTAGTTCTGGAAGAAAGAGGAAAACCATTTCTGCCCTTATGTCAGTGCTGCATATTGCTGCAGTGGTACAGGTCAGTTGCCAAGTGTGCAGCTGCAGTTGTATACCTTTTATTTTGGAGTTCTTGCATTCATAACAGTAAGTGTGTTCAAGTGTGCAAATTTAATATCTGTAGTTCTACACTTAGCAAAGGTAATTTAGCTATATTCTTAATTATTTTAACCAATGGTTCTAGAGAATTTAAGATTTAGACCGGCTTAAGTCCATCCCAGATGTAATCATGGGTAAAACTGTAATTATATCAGACACAAATTAAAGTTCCCTGTACAGTATCCCATTCCTCGACAGCTGGTGAAGACAGATACCTATAACTGCTTTTAAAAAAATAAATAAAAAAGGAGTCATAGAGAGAGTTTGAAAGAAAACATACACTGTTTTCATTTCAAATGCTTTAAGGATTACAGCTTTAGGCTCTATAAAAAAAAACTGCATTAAAATAATCCACCATTTGCATGTTTTATCTCACAAAGGAAGCTCACATAGACATACATAAACCAACCCCCAACGCCCCTCCCTACCTTCTTCTTCTCATTCCCCTCCCCCATTCTGGGTGAGCACACCCACACACACTTACAAGCTACGCATATACACACTCTCATCATTAAAAGCACACACACACATTGAGATCAACCTGCTGCCATCTGCTCTACGCACTCTCTACAATCCTTGCAGAATACATTATTCACCGCAATACATCACATTGCATTTCCTCAATGTCATAGCTTGCACTGAGGAAGACTGAGAGAGAATGGAGGAGAGAGGAAGGTAAAGCATCTATTGTACCAACTGGAGAAAGAGAGAAGATTTGGCCTGTTATGTTGTAAGAGTGAAGGGGAGAATTAAATACAGGTTTATTTGACTTTCAGTTGAAACAAGGCTGACAGAAAAACACGTTCCCATTACTTCCAGCAGGCTAGATTATAGTTTCAGACAAAAAGGTTAGTGTATGAGAGTGAAGGATAACAGCTGCTGTGAATGTGAGAGAAACTGACACATACAAAGAGAAAACCGAGAGCATCTATCTGCAGGCGGGATGCGCTCTAATATATGCATACTTAAAGTTGTTTAATCGTCTCACTAAATGACCTTTTTGATGTGCTAAACTTTTTATATTGACTATGTATAAATATGCATGTAAGTGGTACCCATAATTTAGGATGTTTTTTAGGTGAGAATCTACCTTAAGCACTAGAAGCTTTTATCA